GTCGACAGTAAGTCAACAGAACGCAGCAGTTTTGTTGATGGCAGTAAACCTCATTCTACGAGGAGTAATGCCTTTTGTCGACAGAGTTCTGTCGACAAAAGGCGCTATTGCATCCACACTGTACTTTTTCAAAAAAGAGCATCTAGACTGTCTGTCGACAAAGCAGCTTACTTTGTCGACAGTACTGGCTGTAGTCTAGACGCTCTTTGTTGACAGAGGCGTTGTCGACAGACAAAAGCCTGTAATCTAGACATACTCATAGACAAGGCATGCTAATTCCCAGGAGGAAAAAAGAAAACTAAAACCACCTACATTGCTCTTGCTATAGTTCAAAGGCAGAGGCGCCCTTATACACTAATCAAATAGTCAATTAATCTAAATTTAACATCCATATTCTGAAGCAGGTGGAAAAGAAAGATCTTCTAACTACAGTCCATGTAAGGCTTTGTCTACACTTTTTAAGTTTAAAATGCAGCGACAGCAGAGCTTTAAGTCGGAAAGGTAAATTCTTCTCTTCTCCTTGAAGAGCTGTATCAGAGGCAGGGGGGAGGGGAAGAGCCACCCCCTGCCCTGCTCTGGGAGTCACCCCCAGCCCTGCTCATACAATTAAACACTATCTAATATCCCTACTTCAACCACCAGTGAGCAAGTAGTGGAGGTGGGTATCTGATTTGAGAACAGTCTGTTGTACGGTAGCAAGGGGACAGGAAACTGCTAAGGCTTTAGTTGAATACATGAAGATAACAGTGTGCAAGATTTGAATAGTCCGTACTATAGGAGTTCACAAAAGACAAAGGAAGGAAAAGGGCAAAGGAATTTTTTTCCCAAACATATACTTTGCAACTGCTTTGGAAGGTATCATAGCATCATAGGCATTATTATTTGCATAACCTTACCCACTAACAGGGCTGCTAAATTTGTAGCAATTCTGCAGACAGCAATGGGAAAAATCACACTAATGCTCTGAAGCAATGTACGTTACTACTTTTGTCTGAGAGCTGTTCATGTTCGCAGCCTGGGTTCCATTTTAAGGCATCTGTGATCCGGGGTGTGTGGGTTTTTTCCCATGGTGCAGACTTGAGGCAGGGTTTCACTGAGCATGTTTTGTGATTTTGCATTTTAAAAGATATTTTTTTCCATCTCCTTTGTGTCTCATTTCTTCTGTAGTTATCTTTGTGCTGTCCAAAGGGGATTGGAAAATAAGCTGAGAGTTTGTGTTGGGTGAAGGAAGGAACGCCTTGGTCTCTGTCATACGAGGTGGCAGAGTTCCATTGCTTATAGCCAGGGTGAAAGAGAAGGGAAGAGAAATGCAGTAAGTGAGAGGCAGAGGAAGTGAGTCAGTTCTCACTGAAACAGCAAGCCCTGATTCCACGTGCAGGGAAGCCAACCCTTGGTCTAGATTGAAGGTGAAGTTGCATAAACCCTGTGTCTGCCTGTTCTTCCTAGTTTTAAAATCTTCTCTGCAACCTTGTGAGGTTTGAGGAGATTCAGATTATGGGACCTTAGGCAAAGGGAGACATCCAGTCTAACTTCAATTTTTTATGCATAAAATATTTTATTGCACCTTTTTGTTAAGGTCTTTAATGAATAATAATGCAAATATCTTGTCTGCTCTGTCTGGGTTTTAAAAAATCCTATGGCAAATTGCATAAGAGGTGGCCCTGCTTTCCTTGCTTAGGTATTCCTCTCCTACACAGCACAACTCTGTCTTGTCATTTGCTTCCTTGCCCACACCAAAGGAAGCTGCTTTTCTGTGGTGGTTGAAGTGATCCTGGAATGTAAGTTGGTATGTAAAGCACTTCATGATTCTCTGGGATGAAGCACAACATTTAAATGTTTAATATGCTCGAGTGTGGAAGCATCTTTGTTCTTTACTAACTCTAATAGTGTTTTTCTCTCTTCTCCTATGTCCTCTGTGCTTTTTTTCCTTTCCCATTGTTTTATGGTACTTGTAACCTAGTTTGCATCTGTGCTTACTGGTTTTCATCACTGTTTTTATTATCAATTCCGTTCCACTGGTGCGAATGTTAAACTATGGTGAATCTTATTTTAGCAGTGCTCAAAAACAGCACTCTCCCCGCCCTCCCCCCACCACAAAATAGTCCACCACTCAAAATCATATGGAGTACAGTTCTCAACTTGCTGCAATTATCATTCATTCCTCTTTGATAACGAAAGGAAGGTTGTGGTCACTGTGCAAGCCAGATAGTAAAGACAGTTTGTGGGCTGTCATTCAGACTTTTCACAATGGGAAGGAGGTGGAGAAATATCAAAAGCAACTGCAAATAAATGTTTCTACCCCCCAAGAGAATCCATATATTTGTCCTCAAACTGTTACATTCAGATCAACCTCTGCAGCACAAACCAGGAATGAGAGGCTGAATTGGAATCTAGGACTTTGGTTCCATATACTTAAGTGTACTGTGCAGGCCGTGAGTTGGACATATGTTGTGGTGTTTGTGTGGTGTAATGTATGATTAGGTGAAGCCCCCACTGTCTTGCAAATAGAGTGAGCATCCACAAACGATATAGTCCAAATTTGCCTTTTTTCAGGAGTCTCTTCCATATATCCCAACTATACATATAAAATGATGGGGACTAAATTAGCTATTACCACACCAGAAAGAGCTCTTGAAATACTTATGGATAGTTCTTTGAAAACATCCACTTAAGGTGCAGCTGAAGTCAAAAAAGGAGACAATGTTAGGAATAATTAAAAAAGGGATACATAAGAAGACAGAAAATACCATAACAACATAGAGTTGCCAGGTGTCCTGTATTGTACCGGACAGTCCGGTATTGGCGTGCTCTGTCCGGTAAAAAAAAAAAATCAGAAAATATCGGACATGTGTAATGTCAGGTATTTTCTGAATTTCCGGCTGGGCATTGGACGGAAGCTTGGCGGGGGTGGGGGAGCAACTGGGAGGCAGAGCCTTGATTGGCACTGGGAGCCTGTGGTCGCGTGCAAAAGCCAGGCAGGGACGAGGGGAGTGGCTGGGGGGCCCCCCGCCCAGAGGCTCCTAGCTGGGAGGTGGGGCCACAATTGGCGCTGGGAGCCTCTGTTCTTTCCGGCTGGGCACTGGATGGAAGCCTGGTGGCGTCTCCTGTGGTTGTGTGTTGAAGCCGGGCGGTGCGGGGCTTTTTTGTTTGGTTGGTTTTTTGTATGCCTGACGTGTGTGGTGTTGAAGCCGGGCGGTGCGGGGCTTTTTTGTTTGTTTGGTTTTTTGTATGCCTGACATGTGTGTTCTTTTCTTTTTTTTGCTCAACAAAAATTTTTAGCCTACATGTTTGGTATTTTTTGGGAGAGCATCTGGCAACCCTAATTGTGTGCAGATGTGATTGCCTCATCTCCAAAAAGATATATGGGAATTGGAAAAGATTCAGAAAAGGGCAACAAAAATAATTAGGGGTGTGGAATGGCTGCCATATGAGAAGAGCTTAATAAGAATGGGACTTTTCAATTTGGAAAAGAGATTACTAAGTGGGGATATGATGGAGGTCTATAAAATCAGAACTGGTGTGAAGAAATAATTAAGGAAAAGTTATTTACTCCCTACCATAACAGAAGAATGAGCAGTCACCAAATGAAATTAACACGTAACAAGTTTAAAATAAAAGGAAATAATTCTTCACACAATGCATAGTCAACCTGTGGAACTCCCTGCCAGGAAAGGTCCATCAGTGGCTTTTAGCTAGGATGGGCAGGGATAGTGTCTCTAGAATCTAGTTTCTGTTTGTCAGAATTTGGAAATGGGCAACAGGATGCATCACTTGATGATTACCTGTTCTGTTTGTTCCCTTTAGGGCACGTGGCATTGGCCACTGTCAGAAAACAGGATACTGGGCTAGATGGACCTTTAGTCTGACCTGTTATAACCATTCTTATCCTTAACACAATGACAGTAAAAACAGTTATTAGTTCTGTGGCTCCTTAGAGACTAACAAAAATATATATAATATCATGAGCTTCTTTGGGCAGAATATTTATTTAAGCTATTACATTAAGTGATAGACACTAGGGATGTGAAATCCCATTTAATTGGCTAACCAGTTACCCCCTCACTCATCCTCCTTTAAATTGGTTAACCAGTTAAACAACAGGGATATGTTCCAACCCGGCTGGAGTGACTGATAGGGGCTGCCCCAGCAGGGACACTGGAGTAGCCCCTGCCTGCGGGGAGCCTGGGCCCACTGCAGGCAGGGGCTGTGCTGGAGCAGCCGTTGTCCGCAGTGGACTTCTATGGGGCTGGAGCAGCCTCCTGCCCGCAACAGGTGGGGAGCTGCTCCAGCCCCACCAGTTCCTGGTTATACCTTCACATCCCTAATAGATACACACAATAAAAAGTGAAAAAGTAAATTCCAACACTGACTCAGTAGTAAAGACTGAAGATGATATACATATCTAATTTAGTATGTGACATATTATATCATGTTTATAATGCTTTACCTTGAAAGCTAAACATTTTTTCTCTGAACCCATGTACAAAAAAGCAGACTTTAACTCATTACTTACTAATTCATTACTAAATTTGAGGAGCTCCTTGATTCTATTAAAAATTAATTTATTTTGCCATTATCATTACTATCAATATAATTAAACACATTTTTAATAAATGATTGTAAATGTAGGCCTTTCTAGGTAGTGTACTCTAATTTTAACTAGTTTATTTTTAAAAAGGAAATCTGTAAACTTAAATCTGATTAAAATCATTTAAAATATAAGGGAGGTAAGAACCATTTATAAAAAAAAGTATAATATTAATAAAGAATACACCATCATATTCCATATGTAGCAGTAGTAGAATCCTCATGATAATAGTTTTTTTTTCATCCCAGCACCTTTGCATTTTGCCCACTAATCGCCTCTTCCAAGGACTACGAATAAGATTCCAAAACTCTTAAGTTGCAAACAGCTATTTTAAATAATTAAGCTTTTGGATTTTTTTAATATTTGCACCATTATCCACAAAACTGTTGTTTTTTTCCCCTTCCAAATGCAGGATTTCCTCATCTTTTCCTCCCTACTTGCCCACTCCCCAAGGAGGGGGGGCAGAGAGCGACTTAATTACTTTAGTGGAAGTCTAAAATTAGGCCATATTCAAGTTTGGATAAGTGACAAGTTTAAGATCTGGTGTCTTGGAGTCATGCAGTCTAGAAAAAGTTGCTATATCTTATTGGAATGTGAAGATTCCTAGTTTTTCAATGTGCTGCATAACATTTTTGTCCTGGTAGGTCCTAAGATTTATTTATTTTTTTACTTTAGAATCAAGGCATTATTAATTTGTTCTAGATCATTTTAGAGATGACGATGTTTTTAGCATTTTCTTTTCTCTGATGTTTGAACACATAGATAGTTTGCTAAGAAAAACTGGCTTTGTAGGCAGAGATATACAAATAGTACTATTTTTTTTCAAATCTAAAGTGTTTCAGAAATAATTATTCTGTAAATTGCAATTTACTGGATGATATTATGAACATACTCATGACAGTGCATGATATCTAGGTTTGGGATGGTTTCATTGCTTAGGAGCTGGTGTTTTTACATATTTAAGTTTTTAGAATAAAATATCTCTATCCAAGTCTTTGTCAGAGAACGTTCCAGTCCATAAGCCTTTATTGTGGCTTTTCTTCCTTGATTGTGTCTATTCCTGTGCATGAGGGGCCTTCTTTTCCTGTTCTCTACCAACAGAAACTTGTTAATCCGAAGATCGTTAAAGATGCCCACAAGCCTCTTCATGATCCACTATTCAGTGTGAAATCCCTTGGCAGAAATAGCAACTTCCAACTGCTGCAAAAGGCGTTGAGAGTACAGCAGGTTGGGAAAGTCCTGCCTGTAGTCACAGGGCATTTAGTGAGCTATTGAAGGAATTTTTTGGGGCTGATGGGGCAAGATGGTTTCCACACAGTACAGCTGCTGGCTACTTTCCCCACTTTCCCTTCATGTTCAGCTGAAGGTTTTGCTGGGTTTTTTAGTTTTTTACCATGGCAGAGGGGAAATTTGGGAATGCTGAGATAATGTAGGTTGTTTGACACTTTTAGCAAGTCATCGTTATTTTTTCAGAGGTTGAATTAAAAGCAAATAATTCAGCTTATAAAAATAATTAAAAATCAGTGATTTGGTGGAAGAGAAGTGAGGAAAGTGGGAATGTGTAACAGAAAAGACTTCAGAATGAGCAAAAGGAGTGGTGCCTAATCTTTATTACACGGGGCCACATAAACCTAAATGCAATCTTGTGATTTGAAGTAACTTGAATTGATTTATATTTTAAGTTCATCTTGTTTTGTATGTATTTAAATAGGTTGTTTCTAAGTACTTTATCATCTACTTATATATTTGTGTAAACTAAAATGATGTAAATGTGACGACAAAGCACTAATGAATTGGGTGTCAGGATATTGGGTGGAAGCATGCTTCAGGTCTTATGAAATGCTGTGGTGGGCCATACACAACCTGCATGCTGTAATTTGAGCATACCTGAGCTTAAGTGTTCATTTTTTAAATCAGTAGTGCTTTTTGCAACTGCTGTTCTTATTGTGCAAAAGTATTCTATTATTTATTTTAGAGAGGAATGAATGTTAGACTCTACAGATGGTCAGATCTACTTTCCCTCCCTCCTCTGTCTCCATCCTTTTCCCCACTGGGCAAGATTTTCCTCATTGTGATTTCTTTGGAAGGAGGGACAGATACACACCTTATTGTTTGCTGATTCTGGGGGGGGTGTATGCCATCTGATGTCCAGGGTTTGTGCTCCTTTCTGGTGACTCATTGATGTTCATTTTCTGTTTCAGGTGCTGTGATCAAGTAGGCTCCAGCATCCTCTGACTTGCAGAGAAGAGCGGAGGGGGGAAAAAAAAGGAAAGAAAGACACACACAGAAGAAAGGGAAGTGGAGGCCCTTCTGTCTAGACTTATACAAAACTATCATTACTGAAACTGGATGGGAAAGTGAACTTTTTGATGTCTTTCCTTCCCCTAGCCTCTGAGATGGAAGGGTTGTAAATCTGTGTGCGTGCCTGGGGACAGACTGAACCATGAATCTACAGGCTCAGCAAAAGACTTCAAACAAGAGGGCTGGGAAACGGATTACATTTTTTAATGAACAGGATGTAGTTGTGCCATCAAAAGAACTGCAACAGCAGCTGAAGGAAGGGCAGTACTATGGACATGGAGGGGAAATGCCTGGCTCCCAAAGTATGGAGCTATCTAAAGCAGGCGGGCTAAGTGGGGCTCCCAACAACGTTGCCTTGATGAACTCGGTTGTTTATACTCAAAACAGGGGGGACTCCATGATGATGTCCCAGCAGCTGGCTACTGTCAAATGGCAGAACTCATTGATGGCGAGCAGGTTGCCTGACAGAGTTGATACCAGTTGGCAGCCTTCACCTGCGGCATGGAACCACAGTATGGTCTATGGGGGCAATCAAAAAGGGGTCCACCCTAATTCCAATGCCCCAGGTTTCTATGGACATCCTGAAATGCTGAAAAGAAACCAGGAAAAAGAAATGGAGGTGCCACAGCTAGAACTATATGGAGATGCAGTCCAGCAGATGATGGCCCAGAAGGTTCAGCTGGAACAACAAGCACTAATCAGGCAACAAGCTCAAATGAATTCCTACCACCAGATGCAGAAGCAGCAGCAGCAGAATCAGACTCTTCCTTTGCAGCCTTTCCAGCTTGCATTCGGTCACCAAGGCCAGAAGCAAGGCCTTCCTGAATTGCTACATGTCTTTCAACAAACCCCAGCTTCTTCAAACCCAGTCTTCACTACCCAGCAGAAACAACAGTCTCTTCCCCAGTTACAACTATTTGAAAACTTCTATCCACAACAGCAGCAACAGGCTGCCATGCAAGCCTTCAGTCTCCAGCAGTCTGCTTCGATAGCTCAGCCCCATGTGGCAGCAACAGCACCCCAACATCATATGATGGCCCACCAGTTCCAGCAACCTGAGAGGAACCAGGAACTTTTTAAAGCCCTGACAGAGCAAAACCAACAGACTGTGCTACCTCAGACCCAGATACCCTTTCCAAGGAGATCAAGGAGACTCTCCAAGGAAGGTATTTTGCCATCCTCTTCTTCAGGAGAAATAATGGGTTCTAAACCAGTAGAGGAACAATCTAGCAATCTGTTCCTCCATCCCTGGCAACCACAGCAGCAAGGACTCCAGTTTCAGAACGAGACTGAAACTCTGGGCCACAACAAAGGTAGCTATCTAGAGCCCAAGAGGACACACCTGGGTCAGAAGGAGATCCTGAGTAATAATGAGTTGACGCAGCCTGAAACAGAGAGGCTGGCCACATCTTATAATGGTAGAGATGGTGAGAAGCAAGTGGCAATGACTGAAGAAGGCACTCAGAGAACTCATGATTTTGTGGGGGTGAGAGGTGGTGTGATCCAGAGCACCCGAAGAAAACGGTGTGTTTCTCAAGAGGCCAACCTGCTGACCCTGGCACAAAAGGCTGTTGAGCTGGCTTCTCTTCAAAATGACAAGGTAAGAGACATCCTGACCAACACAGCATTTCTAAAGTAGCCCTCATACTATATAACATCCTAAAAATATATCTCTCAGGAAAAAAAATTATGGGAAGTCAACCTAATTGAAGAGAGACAGAGTGCACTGCTGCAGAACCAGCTCTAGAATTACCCATATGAGGGTGATTGCCTGGCCATACAGTGAGCAATGTAGTTTACTCCACTGGGATTGAATGAATCTCCTAACCAGACCCTTAGAATGAAATACAACTAGTTAATCAAATTGATCAAAAATTTAGAATACAAGGTATAAATATTCTGGCCTGTTTCACCTGACCTCTTTGTTTAAAATCCTGCCTCTTTTGACTAGTCTCCCAGATCAAAACACGAAGGATGACATCTTTAGCAAATAATTTTAAAATAATTTTTAAAAATGAAAAAATTTAAAATTCTAATTTGCTACAGCAATACAGAAATCTGGCTAACCTATAGGACAAAGGTCTGTGGAAGGGATGTAATAGTGTACCTGTGTAAATGGTTAACCTATGAGCCTGGATTCATCAATTAACCTTCACAACTACACACAGGCCTCCCTCCCTGATACATAGTCTCTGTATCAGAGGCAGCAGCATGGAGGGAGCAGGCAGGAACTCATGCTCACAGGGAGCTTCCTCTCCCCTGTGTGCAAACGTGTAACTGTTGAAAATTTCACATTTACCAGAATAAACACATTTTAACATCCCTAGTCTGTAGGAACCTTTGTAGGACTTGTTGGGGCAGATGCACTATCTCTTGGTGAACAAGAGGAAAGAGCAGTTACTCCATTGATCCCTCTGGTGTACCATAGCCAGAAGCTGAACAACATCTTATCGTATGGTTTGATGAGGAAACAGGAGACCAGGAACTGTGGGGCACAACTAAGAGCTATGTTCTCTTTCAGCCCTGCTTTCACTGATCTTACAGTGAATCCCTCACATGGGAAGGGAAAAAGACCCTTTTCTCTAAGGGCTTCATTGTTAGGGGGACACAGCAGGGATGTCAGGATATATAACTATCCTTGTCGTGATGTTCTGGATAACAGTGACAAGGAAAATAAACACATTTCTTTTTTTGCCATTTCCTCCCAATCTCCTACTTGCTCATCATTTGCTTTGCCCTGCCCATCTTCTCTTATACAGGGATGTGTAGATTATTCAGGTTTTGTAGGCAGACAGTGGAAGTGAACACTAGGGATGTTAAATGGCATTTAATTAGCTAACTGACTCGTTGATGGAATTTCCATCAACTGGTCGATTTAGTTGATAAGGGGGGGGAAACTGCAGAGTCACAATGGAGTTAGCTCCCGGCTCCAGAAGCTAACCCTGCTGCGGTTCTGCCTTTTAAATGTATTAAGAGCCATAAGACTCTTAATACATTTAAAAAGCACAAGCACAGCATGAGGGACAGGGCTCAGGCCCTGTTCTCCGCTATGCCTCAGCCTCTCCTGCTCCCCTGCAGAGATGGTGCTGGGGGACAATGACTGGCTTTTAAGCCAGCTCCCCCCACCACTGGCTCTTGCTTCCTCTCCCCCCCTCCCCCTCCCCCCCGATAGAGGCAGCAAGGTGGGGAAGCAACTAGTCACTCACAGCCCTAGTGCACACATGCTGCTTCATCTGTTTTACAGAAGATCAACTAAAACCTTCATCAGATAGTAAAGCAACCATGTTAACATGATCACCTTTTTCTTGCTATGCTGTTCCTATCGAGCAAGGTACTTGTTAGTACACTTGGTGGAAAACTGGGTCGTAGTTAGCAATATGAAATATGTACTTTTGCTTATCTGCTGCCCTCTCATCCACATCATCCTTATACTTATCCAAGTAGAGCTGCATTACATGCCATCTGATCACCAGCACTGCGAGTTCAGTTAGAGAGACCTGGTTGTGTGCTTAAGAAAAGGCTAGGAGAGATCAAGTGACATTTAACAGTTGAAACAAGAAATTTCCCCCCTAGTCATGCCTGTATATAGCTATGGTTAGCAACTTGAGGACAAAAGGGAGTAATATTTGACAGATTCTGTCTGGTCTTCCCAGTGAGAAGTAAAAAGGGTTTGATTACACAGTGGCCCTGATGGAAGGGGTTTTGTTAGCCCCACTCTTTTTTTTTTTTTTTTTTTTTTTTTTTAAACCTCTTTGATAATTTTCTACATTCAAGATGAGATTTGCAATCTAGGGATAATGAACCATAGATTTTTAAGTGGCTAATTAGAGCAAACTAGTGGGTGGGTGGTGGACAAGTGTGTGAGAGAGAAGACATATGTTATTGTGTAGTGGGGTGGGGGTTTTTTTTGGTTGGTTGGTTTTTTGTTTTTGGTGGGAGGATGGTCTGCTCCTTTATTCTCCTTAGCTCAGTGGTTTTCTGTCCCACAATACAACCTGCTGCTTCCACTGTTGACTCCTTTCCTCTGATCAGAAAACACTGAGCACAGATCCAAAAGACACCTACCTGATTGTTGTAGCTGACCAAAGAGCTGATGAAAGAGGCTTATTTAGTTAGCTTAAGAAGGTATATTTACATTGGATAAAGTACAGTACAAAAGCCAGCCTAGCTCTTTAATCAAGAGATTCAACTATATGAGCTCTTGAAGTGGGAGAACCAGGAAAAGAAGGTATGCAGTTGAGTAATTTGGAACAAAAGTTGTACGCTTGAAACCTCAATTTTCAGGTGTTCCCATAATATTAAAATCCCTGCCCATGTGCGTATGGGGAAATATTGGGGGTATGCAGGGCATAAGTTAGTCTGGAAAACAAAATGTAAAGCTATGGATGGGAAAATGAAGGATCAAGAGTAGCTGGTACTGTTTCTAATGCCAGTTGAAATAAATGTAACCACTCTTAAGACAATTTTGCTGGCTTTGGAAGGTAGTTCAGAAGAAGTATCCTTTTCCCAGGTATTGTAGGTCTGAGTACATGTTGAGACTAATATGGAACACTGAAATAAAATTTTTAGATTGAAAGTGATTGTCTGATTAAAAGGTGATTGCTCTAAAATTTTTAAGGCACATGTGGGATATTTTTCTTCTTGTCTTCAGGAATTGGATACTTCAGAAGAGAAGAAGACTGCAGTGGCTGCAGCACCTACAGCAGCCAAAAGTGTTTTGGAATTTGCCAGTTCTCCACCCTGCTCCAAGAGACCCCGGGAAGATAGCAGTCTTGTGCCTCTAATCATCCCTGTGTCTGTGCCAGTGAGGAAATTCGACTTGCAAGCTATTGCGAAGGAAAAGGGTGAGGAAGGGAAACTCCAGAGGGTGCTGGCAAATGATCGAAGTCTTTCTGAACGCAAGCCCTCTGTGATAGTCACCCGAAGACGGTCCAGTCGTAGCTCCAACATGGAAACCTCAATCCAGGTATGGTCATATTAAGAGACTTAAGTCTGCTACATCTGTGTGCTCAGCTTAATCCCTTGTATTGAAACAACTTTAATTGTGAAAGAGTAGTGTGAGTCTCCTAACCTTGAAAGGGGAACCTGGTGTTGTGCTGATTTTTGATCCAGAGGCCACTTCTGCGTCTTGTGTAGAGGGTGGTTTTTTTTTTTTTTTTTAAATGTACCATTGCAATATGATGGCTAATTTGTGGAGCACCATTGGCTTTTTGAAGCCTATTGCTGGTACTAAAATAGCCAAATAATACCTTCTAAAAGTCTGGAGGATACCGAGGATGAAGGTAGACTAAGTACATAATGTGGTGCTATTGGGAGCTTGCTCTGTTCAACTGATTTTCATTTTCAGAGCTATGCTGTAAATTAGGGATGTAAAATGTTGATTATTTGGCTAATTGAATAGTCAATAAGAGCGCTTCTGTCTTTGAAGTGTAGCAACAGCCATTGTGTCACTTCAAAGGCGAAAGTGCTGTGGGGAGCACGGGGCCAGCTGGGGCTCCCTGCAGTGTTTCAAAGTGGTAGCGCCGCATGGAGCTCCCAGGGTCAGGCTCCATGTGGCGCTGGCACTTTGAAACGCTGAAGGAAGCCCGGCATCAGACTCCACGCAGCGCTGCCACTTTGAAAGCCTCGTGCAGCCCAGAGCCAGCCAGGGACCCTGGGCTTCAGGTGGCATTTCAAAGCGGCAGCTCTACGTGGAGCCCAGGGTCTGGCCCCAGGCTACACGTGGCGCTGCTGCTTTGAAGCACCCCCACTACTTTCCCCATCCTTGCTGCCTCTTTCTGACAGAGGGAGCAAGGGTGGGGGGGAAAGCAACTAGTTAACCCCCATCCTTGCTGCCTCTTTCTGACAGAGGGAGCAAGGGTGGGGGGGAAAGCAACTAGTCAACCAGTGTGCTGATTATCCAATAAGCATTTGCTTATTGAATAGTCGACTAGTCGTTCACATCCCTACTCTAAATAAGTTTTTTTTTGTTTTTGTTTTTTGATTGTTAATGCACAGGTTACTTTGAGTTGTAAAACTATGCATCTATCTTTGGCTTCTGAGTAAGTCCAAGCTGGATCTTGGTTTACATGGCTACCATGATGTTCTAAGAATCCCCTGGGGATAGGTTCATCGATATTTACTCTTTGTTTGTTTGTTTTAATCTTACATCTAGCCAAAGAAAGAGATTTAGATGAAGGATTATAGTGGATAATTTTGCTGGCTGGAGAAATGTTAAATTGTTCATAGTTCCTAAGCAGTTTCAGGCTTTCGAGAAAAAAATTCTTGGACTTTGTTCTGTTCTATCGTTCAGAGTGACTAACTTTTCTTCTCATCCTGTGATGTCTTCTGTGTGTCTCAGAGCTCTGTTAAAATCTCATCTTCCCCCTTCAAAACTGCCACTTTGCAACTGCCATCTTTCTAACCCAGCAATGGACTGAGCTGCCATCTAGAGCCTGTAAACACAACTTTATAAGCTGCCAGAGGTGTCGTTGCTGAATAATAGTTGATGTCTCCCCTCTTCAACAGCCCCAGCCAGCACCTGTCCTGCAGTGCACTGAGCATGTTATCATCTCACGGAAATTTTTTAAACAATTTGGAAGCATCTTACAATTAAATGTTCAGATAATTGTGTTTAAAAGGATTTGTTTTCTTTTGTAGCATGAAAATGCTGTTCCAAAGGAGGAATCGGAGAGCTTTGCCCGGAAACCAAAGCAGCGCCCAAGACCTGAGCCACTCTTTATACCACCAAAAGCAGGCACCTTCATTGCTCCTCCAGTCTACTCTAACATCACTCCATATCAGAGCCACTTACGCTCACCTGTGCGCCTTGCAGATCACCCTTCAGATAGGAACTTTGAACTACCTCCTTATACACCTCCACCAATTCTCAGCCCAGTGAGAGAAGGGTCTGGGCTGTATTTCAATGCTATCCTCTCTGCTAGTGGTCACTCAATTCCACCGCCAGTGACCCCTAAAAGTACTCACAGAACTCTGCTCAGATCTAGTAAGTTCTCTTCTTTGTCCTGTTGGGAGTGGGAGGCTGAGTGCCAACACACATGGAATTGTGACTCTTAGATAGATAGTTATGGATAGATGGATGTTGAGCTTTCTGTTGGGAGACTTTGGGGAAATGGAGTGTAGGAGAAGTGATGCTGCCATATTTGGGGATGTTATTTAGAATGAACCTACCATTGATCTCCTGCTGCACTCCCTGCTGACTTCCTGCAGAAAAGATTTAGTTTTGAAAGAGTTAAGTGTTCTCTCAAGCATGGGATTAGTTTAGCTGAAATATCTGAGAGTTTGTTGGAAGGGATGGGATGCTATGATGAAAATGGTGGAACAGAACAGAATGGTGGATGAAAATTAAAAATTCCCTCTTCATTTTACTGTTCTTTGGCACTTGAGAACTTTTTTGGGTGAATAAAAGTTGATTCTCTGGTGCATTCTTCACACAGTTCACATGTGCCCCAAACATAAAATTGATGGGTTTTGAGCATATCTGTTACTTATCTTACAGATAGTTCAGAAGTCACCCCTCCCGTCCTTTCGGTAATGGGAGAGGCCACCCCAGTCAGCATTGAACCGTAAGTATCAATACAATTGTACAATATCCATCTCCTTGCTCAGGGATGGACAATAATTTTTAAGGGGGGGGGGTCACTCCAAGATTTTGCTAAGTGGTCAAGGGCCACTCTTCTGTAGAGGGGGCAGGAGGTCTGGGATGGCAGGTGGAGGGTAGAAGGGAGTTTGGGTGAAGGAGGGGGTTATGATCTGGGTCAGGGGCTTGGGTTGCCGGGTCCAGGAGGTGTTATGGGTGCAGGAGAGGATTCTGGCCTGGAGGAGGGATGTAGGAGGGAGTGCAAGGCTTGGGATGGGGTTGTGACCTGGAGGAGGTAGGGAGAGGGGATACAAAGGGTTTGGATGGTGGCTTGGGGCAGGTAGTTGGAGAGAAAGAGGGGGAGCACAGAGGCAGCCTCTGGCTGGGAGGTGCTTACATAAGTGGCTCCCAGCCTGCAGCTCTGCAGGAATCCTGCCTGTGTGCTGGGCAGCTTCTCCACATAGCTCTGTTCCAGCACAGGGAGGGGAGAGTGAGGAGGGTTCATTCGCTGTCCCTGCCTTCTGCAACATTTCTCATCTATTATTGGCCCATAACTGGCCAATGGGAGCTTGGGGATTTTGCTAGAAGGCGGGGACACCATGCAAAGCTTTCTCCTCCCTGCTCTGTTTGCAGAGCAATTAGCAGCCTGCTGTTTAAACTGGGTGCAGCTGCTCTATAGTAAGGGTACCAGCAAGGGGACCACGGGCAGGATCTGGTGGCTTGGTGGGCCGGATTCAGCCTGCAAGCCACCTCTTGCCCACCCTATCCTAGCTTGATGGCACACAAATATTCCTTACCCTGCTTACAGATTTAGGAGGATAGGAAAGTGTCGCAGGGTCCCCTTTTGTTGGTTTATCTTTTAGCACTTTTCCAACTCACTCCTGTGAGTATCCTTTGATTAAATCGACAGCCTTATTTTCAATACAGTTACTTCACGTGATTAACTTAAAACAATCATGATTAAAAATAATTGTCATTAATTTTACTCTTAAACAATAGATTGCTAACTGAAATGTATTAAATATTTATGGAATTTTTTTACATTTTCAATCTTGATTTTAATTAAAAGACAGTGCAAAATGTACATTACTCGTGAATTATTACTTTTTATTACAAATATATACACTGTAAATGTGATAAACAAAGTACTGAAGTGCAATTTCTTTGCCGTAACAGAGTAACTTACAAGAGTAGGGGTTTTTTGGTGATGTAACTGCACTCAAAAACAAAACAATGTAAAATTTTAGAGCCTAAATGTCTACTCATTCCTACTTCTTGTTCTGCCAATCATTAAGCATACTTGTTTACATTGATGGGAGGTAGTGCTGCTTGCTTCATGTTTACAGTGTCACCACAAAGTGAGAACAAGTGTTTGCATTGCATTTTGCGCATCATTTTCGTAGCCAACATTGCAAGGAATTTACTGCTAGATATGCCAAACATTTGTATTCCCCTTTATACTTCAGCCATTATTTCAGAGAATAAGTTTCCATGCTAATGATGCTTTTTAAAAAACAACAACACACACCCCATTTGTATTCCCCTTTATACTTCAGCCTTTATTTCAGAGAACAAGTTTCCATGCTAATGATGCTTTTTTAAAAACAACAACAAACACCTCACATTTAATTAAATGTGACTGAACTTCTTGGGGGAGAATTTTATGTCTCCTGCTCTGCTTTACCTGTATTCTGCCATCTGTCATGTTATAGCAGTGTCAGATGAGGACTCTACACATGGTCATTTTTAAGAGAGCTTTCAGAGCAGATTTGACAAAATACAAAGAACGTACTAATTAGGGATGTAAAGGACTAGTCAACTAGTCGCTTCCCTCCCCTCCCCCCCATGCTGCCTCTATCAGAGATAGGCAGCAAGTGGGGGGGAAGAGCAGAGACTACTTCAAAGCGGCAGCACTGCACAGAACCTGGGGTCAGCTGCTCCAAGTGGCGCTGTGGGGAGTCCCCAGCTGACCCCGGACTTCGGCGCTTTCACCCTAGGGCTGTTGCTACACTTTAAAGGCGGAGGCGCCCTATCTACTAATCAAATAGTTGATGCAAAAATGCATCGACTATTCGATTAGTCAGTTACCCAATACTTAACATTCTTAGAACTAATATGAGATTGCTAAGGATAGTTACAGCACACAGCCAGAGTTTAAGAGTCTGAAGTACCATCGAAAATCAAAGAAGGGTGAGATGTGCAGCATGCGTTCAGAAGTCTTAAAAAAGCAAAACTCTGATGTGGAAACTACAGAACCTGAGCCAACAAAAAAAAATCAACCTTCTACTGGAGGAATCTGACTCAGATGATGAAAAAGAACATTTATCAGTTCACGCTGCTTAAATCATTATGAAGCAGAATCATCATCAGCAGGGCTTGACAAGTGACGGTGAGCCCTGCTTGCCAACCACACGGTTTGGCACGCTGGCTAAAATCTACTCGCCACGGGCAAGTAGATTGCCCTAATTGTCGAGCCCTGATCATCAGCATAGAGCATGTCCTCTGAAATGGTGGTTGAAGCATGAAAGGACATCTTTAGTGCATCTGGCATGTAAATATCTTACACCACCAGCTACAACAGTGCCTTGTAAATGCCTGTTCTCACTTTCAGGTCACACTGTAAAAAAGAAGCAGGCAGCGTTATCTCCTGCAAATTGTAACCAGAATTGCCTGGCTGAATGGTTGGCTGAACAAGAAGTAGGACTGACTGCACTTGTAGGCTGTAAAGACTTTCATTGTTTTATTTTTTAATACAGGTTATTTTTTGTACATAATTCTATATTTGTGGGCCCAACTTTCATGATGAAGAGATTACACTAAAGTACTTGTGCGAGATGAATAAAAATGTTTTTTCAGTTCTTTACTGTGCACATAGTTGTAATAAAAATAGTGAGCACTGTACACTTTGTATTCTATGCCATATTTGAAATCAATATATTTCTATCCAAAAATATTTAAAATAAGTGGTATTCTATTATTTCTTGTGTGATTAATTGCAGTTATTTTTAATTGCTTGACAGCCCAATTGAAAGTGTAGATTTAAAAAAAATGTAGGCAGACTAAATCTATTGCTCTAAATATGATTTCTTATGGTCCACTGAACAGTTGCGACGGTGATGACTATTTTCCATCACTACTGTTCAATTGCTGGGCTGAATCTGGAACCACTGTAATTAGTTAAAGGTGAAAGGATCACTATGTCATTCTGCCAGGCATAAACACTATTATACTTGTTGTATACTTTTTAAGAGTGAGGAATACTGCTTCTTAAAGAGAAGGCAAAATACAAATAGACAGACATACTTAATTTTCAGAATGCAGTCAGCTTCAGGAACAAAGGTAACTAGCATTTGTTCCAAATTCACTGGACTTTCTTTTTCTTTTCCTTTTAATAACGGTAACTGAGTTAGCAAAACAAAAGGGAATCTTTAATCCTAAAAATAAAATTGCATTAATCATTTTGTGACTACTTTATCTTGCTACTATCAGGTGATTCTACAGCTTCTAGTAACTGTTGCTGAAAGTGGTTTTACTACTATTGTAGATTAAATCTTTTCCACACCTTTGCAAAGTCCACCCAACATGGGGCTTCGCCTGCACTTAAAACATATCAGCATAACTGTCAATCAGGAGTGTGAAAAAACCACATTCCTGACTGTCATAGCTATGCTGATAAAACCACCAGCGGAGACATGGCTGTGTGACAGACATTGATGTAGCTATTCAGACAGTTGATGTTCCTATACCAGCAAAAAAGTGATTTTCTTGGTGTATGCTGCATTAACATTAGGGCACAGGCTCCGAAGTGTAAATGTTGCTGCTGTCATCCTTTCTTCAACCATTCTGATGTTAACCACTTGTTAAATTATTTGACACCAGTGAAGTAGAATCTGTTGTTGACCAGAATTGTCATCAAGAGATCCGTTTCTTCCTCTCTAGATCATGGCCTTTGAGTCACAAAATGATTTGGGCCAAATTCTCAGTTTAGTCTAACTTAAGTCAGTAGAATTGTGCCGACGAAGAATGTGATCTTTCATTGGAATTTGTGAAACTTTATCTTTGGAGGGGTTGGATTGCAGTAAGATTTGCCATTTTGCTTAAGCTCTTATTTCCAAACATTTCATGTATCTTTTGTTTTAAGTGGAACAAACAGTGTAATGGTTCTTTTCTGTGCCTACTTCTAAAATGTTTGGTGTCATGGGGCATTGTGATGTGAGTCCTCTGGTTCGGTTAGTTCCATGTTTACAAATCATGCCTCTGAAAAGGAGATTTGAGCTTCTCATTGTGGGTGTATATACAGCCGGTCCCCGAGTTGCAAATGGTCGACTTATGACTGTTCGCAGTTACGATCAAAGCTGTCATAAATGGCGGACCCCGAGTTATGAATGCGATCTGTGCTTATGAACATCGCAGTTGCGATATGAATGCGATCTGTGCTTATGAACATCGCGGTTGCGAGTAACTCAATGGGGTCCGATTTACGAATGAACTGAGTTACGACCAATTGCTTGGTCCGTAACCGGTTCGTAAGTCGGGAAGAGGCTATAGTGACTTGGTTTTTTTCAAAGCAGTATTACCCATTGAGAGCGCTCTTGATTTTTTTTCTGCTGCACCTCCAATCCTTTTTTCCCCTAATCTGTTTTTGGCCAGATGTAGTCCACCTTCAATCAAGACTGATCCGATTATCTAAATATATGAATATTGCAATTTGACACTGTCATGGTTTCTTATAAGGTAGCTTGTCATACTTAACATTTATCTTCTGTACCAGTGTCTTCATGAAGTTCCTTTCCAGGGCTAATTCCACTTACTTGCCTTCCCCCTTCCTCATGCCCTGCATGGCTTGATAGAGCAGGAAATGGGTGCAATTCCATTTCAAGGATCATCTGATGGGAGCGGGACATGAGGAGATATTTTATAGTCACTCTTGGGCGCAGGAAATGGGTGCAATTCCATTTCAAAGATCATCTGATGGGAGGGGGACATGAGGAGATATCTTATAGTCACTCTTGGGCCCCCATTCTGCAAAAATACACTTTTTTACTTGGTGCAGTTCTGTTGACAACCATTAATAGTGCCATTGAAGTTAAGCCAGTATGGGCATAAGTGTTTACGGGCTCAGGGCATTGGGCCTTATCGATAACTGTTGCAAGTAGAAAGATAATTGGTCTTCAGACTAACAGAATATTATTCACCCCATCACTGAAATAAATTCTTTTGCAGCATAGTAGCTTTTATTGGAAACAGATTATTGAGCACTATAACTGCCTGTGCTGACATTGACCCTCTCTTTACCTCCCTGCAGACGGCAGATCTGTGTATGCTTAACAATGTGATTCTAATTCTAAATAATTTCTTAGAAGTAATTTTAAAAATAGAGGAAATGATGACAGGAGACATACCTTTTCTATGGAATTAAAATTATTATTTTATGGAAAGGTATTTTTCATTTTTATTCTTGGTTCTGCTATCCTATGACCATAGTTCTTACCTATCCTGTACTTCACTTTGAGTTGCCTCTTTGTTGTTTAATTGTTCACTCTATCTCAAGCCATTTGTTAATGCTGCTCAGTAAGTCAACTGATGGCAGAGATATGGAGCAGGAAAGAGGGTAACCAAAGGTCATGTTCACATGTGGACTTGTGAAATAGTACAGAATGCAGCTGTGCTCAGGAGAGCTGGTTATGTTTTTTCTTCATTTTTAGTTATCTTCTCTTTTTCTCTTGTAATCAAATCTCTCTGTTGATGTCCAGTCTGGATATTACTGGGCAGTCCTTACACACTGGGCAGCTATGAGAACCAAGGAGAAAATATTAGAACCTACTAGAACATTCATTGTTTGAAAGTTCTTGATTGTAATACAAAGGGTGCTAGAACATTCATTGTTTGAAAGTTCTTGATTGTAATAGAACTGGGTTCTTTGTAAGTAATCAAATCTCAAATTAGAGATTAAGTTGAAGCTTGGCAGGTCTAAGGGACCCTCTTATTAGCTAGACAAAATAATTATTAAAACAACATTAGAAATTGGTAATAGGGCACTGAGACTTTTGCATCTAGGTCACTCTGTTAGGTCTGACTCAGGTAGTAACAGCTGAATGTTGTTTTTGCCTTACTGCTGCCATGTGGCTTATGTTTTGACTCTTTGCGATCCATGTGCTTTTACCAGATAGATAGATGCCTTCTAGATATTGTGAGAAGGTCGTTGTCATTATTTGTTCTCCTTTTCCTAGACGAATCAATGTAGGATCACGGTTTCAAGCAGAAATACCTGTGCTCCAAGACAGATCTTTGGCATCAGCTGACAAGCATAAAGCAGACCTGGTGTGGCAGCCATGGGGGGACTTGGAAATCAACAAAACTACCCAAGAGAATGGTAAGCATCTAGAGAGGTTGGTAAATGGGCCTAAAACAAAAAGTAGCAGTTTTGGTAGAGTAGCTGTGTCCTCTGCATTAGGCTCCATTTAAATAGCTTCATACTACTGATCAAGTGTCAAGTTTCACTAAGTTTTGTTGAAAACTTCTTGTGGAAAATTATGGAGAACAAGGATTCATAGACTTGAAAAGGCAGACAGGACAAATTAAATAATTGGACAAGTGAAACAAGGTATTAAATTCATCTCTGCTTTTGCTGTGTCGGTCCCAGGATACGAGAGGGGAAAATATAGGTGAGGTAATAGCTTTTATTGGATCATCTTCTGTTAGTGAAAGATATGAGCTTTCTAGAGCAGTCGTCTCCAACCTTTTAAGCACAAGATCACTTTTTGAATTTAAGTGCAATCGAAGATGTACCTCACATCCAAATATCCTTGCCCTGCCTTCTTTGTGCTCCTTCTCTGAGGTCCCCCGTACCTCCACACTCCATCCTTCCTCCCCCATCCTCCCTCACTTTCACCAGGCTGGGGCTGAGAGTTGGGGTGCAGACTCTGGTCTTGCATTAAGGAATCTGGAGTATGAGAGAGGCATTGAACTTGGGACAGGCAGTTGGGGTGCCTGGAGGGGGTTCTAGGAGCCGGCTCTTGGAGGTTATTTGGATGCAGGGGTGCTCGGGGCTGGGGCATGAGTTTGGGGTACAGGAGGGGGTTCATGACTGGGGTAGGATTTCAGGATGTGGGCTCAGACTGGGCCTTGCTGACCCCACATGGATCCTGGGTGGTGGTACAGTGAGGCTAAGGCAGGCTCACCCCTGCGCTGGCCCTGCACCACTCCCAAAAGCAGCCAGCAAACTCCCTCCCAAATCCTGTTGTGTCCCCTCTCTGCTGTGTGGAAAAGGGATACAGAGTGTGAGGGGGCACCCTGACATTGGCACCCTCCTCTCAGGAGCAAGCAGGAGGCTCCTGAGGGGACAGCTTCAAGGCAGAGGACAGGAGGTGCACAGCAGTGGGGGGAAGGGCAGCTAAAGTACTGGCACTTGATAGCCTCTTGGCCAAACGAGTCAAGATCACTTGTCAGAGGTCCAAGATCTACCAGTAGATCCTGATCTACTGGTTGGTGACCACTGCTCTGGAAGGAGCTCTTTAGGTCTGGGGAAGGAAGCAGAATATCTCAGGGCTTGTCTGCACTTAAAGTGCTACAGTGATGCAGTTGCACTACTGTAGTGCCTCAGCGAAGATGCTGTCTATGCTGACGAGAGGAGCTCTCCCATAGACAATTTGTGTCTCTCCACGCTGGAAGGGCACAGTCTAACAGGGCTGACACATGACTTTCCCATGTTTCCTCTGCCTAGTTGACTGCATCACAGTGCTCTCCTGACTCCACATTATCTGTGGGAGAAGGAAGCCTCTGTCCCTCTCTCCCTATGTTCTTCTCTCCTCACCCCCACCCCCGCCACTTCCTGGCATGTTGACTCTCCCTGACAGTTGGGCAGTGAATGAGATGACGTCACTTGTGCTTGCGAGAGCCTGGCTGGAAGGCAGCGGTCACCCTCTTCCTCTTTGGGCTCTGCTGCTGGAGACAGAGGCCACGTGAGCTGGAGTTCCCGCTCCTCTGCCCCGCCTGGCTTGCTCAATCTCTGTCCCCAGCAGCCAAGCCCTGGCAGGGGATGGAAACATTCTGTCTCCAACGGGGGTTGAATCTTGTTTAACTGTGTCACATGGGTGTAGATTTTTTTTCACCCATGAGTGACCTAGTTATACCTGTCTAATTTGCTAGTGTAGACCTAGCCTCATGAGCTAATGACAAGTTTGGAAAGATTGTTTAAGGGTAACATGGGAGATGATCATTTAAAATAAAATGGGCAATTGGGAGTCATTCACAGAAGTAATTCATAGTCATTCATGATGACAGTGGGTAGTGAGAGTGACTACTTCTGCTTACGGTGCTTACCCAGAAGGTGAGTGACCCAAGCTCAAGTCCTGGCTCCAATGACTATTTATAAAAAGCAGAACAAATGGAGAAATTAAAAGAGCACTGCACCTGAGTATCACATAACTTTGTGGTTAAGGCACTCTCTTGCAATGTGGGAGACCCAAATTCAAATCCAGCAATTGCAATAGGCAATTGTACACATGTCCCTAGACGCAATTAAAATTTAGATTTGTCTCAAGGTACAGTGCTCGGGGGTGTGAAAATCCACACCCCTGAGCACGGTCATTCCTGGGGAGGAATGAGGCATGAGGCCTAAGGCAACTGCGCCTCAGGTGCAGGGCCCAGGGCAATTCCCCCCGCCTCGCTCCTGCTGCATGCCCCCACTCCTACTCTCCCCCCAAATCCTGCCTCTGCAGTCCCCATTGCACCCCTTGCCTGAAGCTCCCTCTCCTGAGCAATGTGAACCGGAGATTACTGGGGGGCCTAGTGCGGGATGGCAGGAGGGATTAGAGTCCCTTGCAGTGGAGGGGACAGGCGCTTCATTGGAAAATCAGTTATACATGAAGTAAATTTCATGTTTAACTGGCTAACCAGTTACATGGGATTTTACATTCCTGTTAGCCTCAAGTCCCACATCTCAGGTAAGTGCCTCAACAAGTGGGCGTAATTTATATGGGAGGCAGTAGAACCGCTATTTTCCCTCCTCCTAGTGGGCGTAATTTATATGGGAGGCAGTGGTACTGCTATTTTCCCCCCTCCCCATCCATTTTGCGACTATAATCCTAATTTCTTTTGCTTTTATAAAAATTCCTAAAAATGAAAACAAAAATTTTCAAGTCAATACATGTAATATTGACATTTTTGATTTTCTGGAAAGTTTGGAAAAAATGCCTTTTTTGGTATAACTGAGCCTACATTAGAGGTTTTGGTGGCATATCTGGGGCATGTGATTTTTTTTTTCACACCCTTGACCTACACAGCTATGCCTACAAAGCTTTGTGGGGTAGAGCTGGCCTGAATCTGAGTTTGTTCACTTACTGCAGCAGTAACTGTGGTCTGGCTTTTTCTGGAAAAAGAGGGAATGGTATTAGCATGTTCATTCACATTTGAATTTTCTCACCTGGCTCTCTTTGTGGCTCACCTCCACCTTGCCATCCTTCACCTCCCCCACTCAGAGTAAGAGGGAAAGTCATAATAGAGGTTCATTCAATCTTGGTTCTCTTCCCTAATGTGAAGGTGTTCAAGTTTTGTGATCGTTCAGTCTTAAGTTCTTTCCTGGTTTATTTAGTTTTGATTGGAAAGGGTCAATTAAGATAAAATAATGGAAATCCTACTGTTGCCCAAGTTACACGTGACCACTACCTCATTGAAAACTGTACTGAGACGCCCACCAACCAAACTCATTGAATATAACAAAAAAATAGCAGCAACTATTCCATTTCTTAATCTGATCTTTTGCATCTTCCATCCCATCCTGTTGTTTGGTTTGATGGCACTTTCCTGGTAATAGTGGAAAATCTGTTAACTGCCGCCTGTTCAAGTATTTTTCCTGGGGCTGGAACCAATCAGGAGCTGGCGCTACATGTCTTGCACGAAGCAAAGGGAAACATTCTGGTGAGTCATCTTCAATTATTTGTCTATTCTTTTGCGATTGTGGGAAGAGATCTTAATCACACAGGACTGATTGCACCAGCAAAATGCTTATTTGAGAGAAGCTTGCAAAGTACTATACAGTTCTGCCAAGATATTTGAATCCTAATGTTCATCACCTCTTGCTGTCACTATTCCGGATGTGGCCCCTGAACAGCTCTGGTGATGTACCTCTATCTTGACTTGTACCGTGTTTGCTATTTCAGTTTTGAGTCTCTCCTAAGTAGAGACAACTAAAAATATCAAACTGCATGAGATTATATGTGGCTTATGTTTTTGTTTTACACCTTAGCTTAAAGGGATCATGTGGCTGAGGTGGCTAAACTAAATTCACTTGCCTTCTAAATTTAAAGTCTAGTTTATGGGAGGGAGCATTGTCTATTGGCTTTAGAGCATGGGACTGGAAATTAGGATAGTGGGTTCAATTCTTGACTCTGTCACTGACTTTCTTTGTGACCCTAAGCAAGTCATTTAACCTTGCTGTGCCTATGCAAAATGGGTTTACTTACCTGCCTTACAGCATTTTGTAATTTACTATATATTTTAGAGAGTTTGTCTGTTTGATCAAGAACGCCTCCTAAACAGTAAGAGCTAGGACCACCAAATTTGGTATAGAGCTTCCTCTGATCATAACTTGAAGCAAGGTAATATTTGGTGTAGAGATGTAAGTGATTAGTCAACTGCCCGATGAACATAAGCTTATCGGGTAGTTGAGTTGACTAGTCTCTTCCCCCTACCCCTCTGCTTCTGTATCGGGGGGGGAGGAGCAGGAGCTGGCACTGGGAGGAGCCAGCTTAAAAGCCAGTTCCCCCCAGGAACGTCTCCAAGGGGGGGGGGCATGGCAGGAGAGGCAGAGGTGCAGGGAGAAATGGCGCAATCAGGTGACTCTTAACTACATTTAAAAGGCAGAGGCGCAGCTGGGATGGTGAGTGCTCCACCCACCCCTTATCAACTAATTGAGTAGTTGAAGGAAATTCCATCGACTACTCAGCTGATTAATCAAAATTTAACATCCCTAGTTTGGTTGCACCAGGAAAACAGGATATGCCTGGAATGGGATTACTTCTCATAAAACGAAACAGAAAAGAGGCAGAATCACCAAAGCAAGTACAGTCCTCAAAATTAACAGAACTGAGTGAATGTTGGAAGAGCTTGAACCAAGATGAGCTAGAAAAATAGAATGAACCTGGAATAGGATTGCTTCTCAATAAACCTTATAGAAAAGAGAGAAAATGGAGAAATTTGGAGTAGTGTTTTGGCACTACTGAGCAATGCTGGGTATATCTGCTAGCCATTAATGTTTGTAAACCATTCTGATTTCTTTGGTAGATGCTGTAAAACGGACCTGTTTATGAAAGTTTAGTGCACTAATCTTCACTGTCACTTCTAACTTCAGTGCAATTGGTAGCTATAGTGCAAATAAAGAATGGGTACAGTTGAGTGGCTTTTTTCTGTGGAAGTGATCCTTCCATTTTATTCTGCAATATTGTTTACTCGAGTGAGTTGAGATTTCTAAACCCATTTCACTGGTGTCCTGAATCTGCAAAGGAGTCTTTAGAGCAGTATTCTTGATTGGCGGGTGGGAGTCAGACCACATTCTGTAGGGGATCATTACGACCTAAGGTAATACTTCCATAGCAGCGTTCCCTCTAATTTTCCCCACTCCTTAAGCAGAATGAATTTTATGTGCACCAATGTGGAGGTGATATGTGACATAGAGGGGATGTGCAACACATCACTTCCACATTGGTGCACATAACGTGCATATGGCAGGGGTGGGGCCAACGGGCTCAGGCCTGGGGCAGAGAGTTAGGATGTAGGAGTGTGGGAATTCCAACTGGGGTGTGTGGGTTCTAGAGTAGGGCTGGAAGTGAGTGACTCGGGGCTGGGACAGGGAGTTGGGATGAAAGGACTCTGACTGGCGGTACGGGCTCGGGTGGGGCTGGGCATGAGAGGCTCAGGGCTAGAACAGAGGATGATGTGCAGGGGCTTGAAGGGTGAGGGCTCCAGCTGGGGTTCACACTATAGGGTAGGGCTGGGCAGATGGGTTTGGGGTAAAGGTGCTCTGAGGCTGCTGCGAGGGGAGAGAGAACTCTTCCCAGCAGCACCTGGGCTGAGAAGGAAAGGCACTTCTCTCAGCCCCGGCTGCTCCAGGGCTGGGGCTGCATGATAGCCTCTCCCCCTGAGCTCCACAGGTACCAGCCAGGGCTGAGTTGGAGCTGGGGCAGGGCTGCCTGAGCCACAGCAGGGAGGCTCTGGGGTAGGGCCACCCATGCCAGGATTGCACTTTGGGCTAGGGGAAAGGCGCTGGGGTCAGGCTGTCCCTCTCTCAGCCACAGCAGGCCTGGAGGTTGGCCCTGGGCTCAGTTGGGGATGGGGCAGTCCTCCTCCCCACCTTAGGTGTGTGCCTTGAGCACCCACTCAGAGCTAACTAAGCAGCTTTGCAGCCACGTAGCTTAGAGGGAACGTATTCTATAGGGCCTTTCTCTTTTGTGAGCTGGAGTAGGTGAGCAGTGTTGTACTCCACTCTATAGATAGGAAAGTGGAGGCATGGAGAGGTGAGTTTGCTTGCCCAAGGTACCAGAGAGTGAAGAACAGAATGCTGTCAAGTATCAGAGGGGTAGCCGTGTTAGTCTGAATCTGCAAAAGCGATGAGGAGTCCTGTGGCACCTTATAGACTAACTGAAGTGTAGGAGCATAAGCTTTCGTGGGCGAAGAAATTTCCACTTCTTTGCCCACGAAAGCTTATGCTCCTACACTTCAGTTAGTCTGTAAGGTGCCACAGGATTCCTCGTCGCGTTAACAGAATGCTGGTGCCTTAACTCCATCCCAAAGGCTGTTCCACAGGCTAGAGCACAAGGTGGGAGAGGGAGCTTTTAATACTAGTAACTTGCTGGTAGAGGATAGTACAAGAAGATTGCCTACTGTTCATTTGTTATAACACTGTAGAAGTTCATGTGCTACTGAGAGCTAATTCTGTTATTGTGCTGTCTCTTAGGCTACGTTGACCAAACTGCTGCTGAAGAGACCAATGCATTCGCAAAACCACCCCCTGGCAGACTATCACTACACAGGTACACTGAAAGGAAAGCAACAGATAAACTCTGTGCTGCTGCCTCTGTTTCCTAGATAGCTGGCGCAGCCCTAGCACATGGGGGGGTCTTTTCCCACCTTCCTTTGTCACCTTTTTGAACAGTAGCTGGTGGTGGAGTCTGCTATTTTGATATTAATGTAGAGTCATAAGCTTTTCAGAACGCTTTACAGGAATCAGAAGACACATCGCGTGTTCCCTGATGAGTGTAGGGGTGAGCAGCAGGGAACTTTGCCTGCCACTCTCATGACACTTAGGATTTGCTAGTGTGCTGCACCACAAGTGCATTAATCACAAAGCCACTTTTTGTGTAGCTAGGTTTGTCAAGAGACTTGATGTAACCTAGTCTGAGATTTTGACAAAATCTTAGAGCTGCAACCTTTGTGGTGTGAATTCATAGCAGGAAATTGAGAGAGTTTGAGTGGGAGAATTTCCATTCACTAGTACTTAACCTATGCAGCTTATAGTAGGGTGTCAAAGGATGCAAAGACTAGCAGGTTATTTTATCTCATTGTTTCCTCTGTGGAAGCAAAACTGCAATGTCAGATGCAGCTGTATCTGTCTCTACGCTCACTTAATATATAACCAGTTGCAAGAAAGGGTCATTTGGGACTAAGGATGGCCCTAAGCAATCCTGGGAAACCTTGGTCTACGACAGGGGTTCCCAAACTTTTTGACATGGGGACCATTCACGAGCTTTTGGAGGACTGGTAACATTCATTTGCATATTCATTAAACAAATGGAGAATATGCAAATAAGTTGTTTCTGGTCCTCCCAAAAGCCCCCAGTGCCCGCTTTAGCAAAGCTTTTGATATGGTCACCCACAATATTCTTGCCAGCAAGTTAAGGGAGTGTGGATTGGATAAATGGACTGTAAGATGAATGGAAAGCTGGCTAGACCAGGATTTCCCAAACTTTTTACTTTAGTTGGAACCCGTTTTTTTCCAGTACTGTTTTTTGCAGCCCAAAAATATAAACGCATATTAAAAAAAGAATGAAAAATGAATACATTTTCAGTGTTTCACCTGGCTGAATCCTCCGCCCAGCCCGGGCTAGGGCTTGTGGGACCTGGCACTGCACGGGCACTCCGGGAGGTGGGAGCAGGAGCAGATTGGGGGTAGGGTATCTGGCAAGGAGGGAACTTGGGTAGGAGTTGGACCTCCCTGGTCTGGCACCCTGACTGGTCCCAGTTGAGGGATTTTTTGGATCAGGGGAGGTCATTTCAGGGCTCCTGGTTCCAGCCCCTTCCCCACTTAGCTTTTCTGCACCTCCCGTGCAACCCAACTGAGCTCAGCCCATCCACCTCAGCCCAGATGAGCCCCGCACTGGTTCCGTGCATGCCTCCCCCACAGCACAGCTAAGCCCTGTTTCCCTGCACCTCCCCCCAGTGGCCCTGTTTCCCCCCCCCCCGTCCCTGCTAGGCTTCTTTGCACCTCCCTCCCCTGCAACCCAATTGAGCTGCCCACCCCTGCTGGTTCCCTGCACCTTTCCCAAAACCATCCTCCACACTCCAAGGGAGTTCAGCACCAGTTCCCTGCAGCCCCTCTCAGCCCAGCTGAGCTGCCCTTCTGTTCCCTGTGCCTTCCCCCATCCACCTCAGCCCAGTTGAGCCCTGTACTGGTTCCCTGCATTCCTTTCCCACAGCACAGCTGAGCCCCATTTCCCTGCACCTCCCCTCAAACCCTGCAGAACTGCTGAGCCCAGCCCTGATTTCCTGCCCCTCCCTTTCTTCCTCCCTCCACTTGAGTCTAGTCCCGGGTTCCTGGTACCTCCCTCCTCCTGCAGCCAAACTGAGCTCTGCACCTTCCCCCCCCCTCGCCCCGTACCTCCCCCCACAGCCCGGCCTGGCACCCCCCCCCAGCATGGTGCCCGGGGGTAACTCCCCCCTGCCGCCCATTTCCCCCTCGCTACGCCTCTGCTGAGCGCCCGGAACATCCGGCTGCATCATCCGCCCGGCCCAGGGCTTGGGGGACCCAGCGCTGTACGGGCACTCTGGGTGTGCAGAACACCCCGGCAGCCACGCTTAGGCCCGATATTTTTTTCCCCACGTAGCCCATAGTTTGGGAAACACTGGTCTAACTCCCCCCTGCCGCCCATTTCCCCCTCGCTACGCCTCTGCTGAGCGCCCGGAACATCCGGCTGCATCATCCGCCCGGCCCAGGGCTTGGGGGACCCAGCGCTGTACGGGCACTCTGGGTGTGCAGAACACCCCGGCAGCCACGCTTAGGCCCGATATTTTTTTCCCCACGTAGCCCATAGTTTGGGAAACACTGGTCTAAGAGGATAGAGGGAAGCTCTTTCTCTAGTGCATAAAAATTACATGTCTGTTCACATAACAACAATGCTTGATGCTACCAGAATACATTCCACTGTGGAAGTAGAGATAAAGAATGTGAGAGGGCTAAAGAAGATTCAGGATTAAGTATTTTTCTTGTTGGAGGAGCAGGAGGGATATTATATTAAGACTACTTCAGATATGTAATAAACTGCATGTAGTTTGGGCAGATTTTATATAAAAAGAAACCTAAAGAAACTATAACTAGAAGAATACAGGCTTGAAATGAAAGGTTTCAGTTTAAAATTCTTTACCTATAGGATCGGACAGGTGGAAAGTTGATGAGAAGAAACTTTTCAACAAAGGCATTGCAATCTACAAAAAAGACTTTTTCCTGGTCCAGAAACTTGTAAGTTGCTCTGCCAATTACATAACGCACTGTGGAAGGGGTGACCTGAACTGATGCAGGTGGTGCTGACACTGACACCATTAACACAAAATATATTTCATTCTGTCTTTAGTGCTTGCTTTTGTTTTTATGTTTTATTCTTTCCTCCTATGCCCCCCCCCCAAATTTCCTTTGAGTGGTTAAACTTTAAAAAAAAATAAAATGTTGTGCTACTTACTAATATTTCTCTCTTCACTCCTCATCAGTCCAATCTCCTTCATTTAGTCAAGGGCACACATCACTTATAAAGAGATGATAGTGATTCAGTAACACTCAAGTAACCTGGTTATAAAATTGAATGGGAAAAATCCCCTTTGTGGTGAAATGGCCCATGGATGGATCTGTGAATGGTGAAACATTTTAGTAATTTCAGATTTCTGTTAAAAAAGAAAATTAGAGACAATGAAAATGTCCTTTTAGTAAATGTCTCCTATGCATTTTAACTAGTCCCAAAGATGCTGTTCAGTGGAAGGAAAGATACCAAAAAAAGGAAGTCAGGAGTAGTTATCAAAGTTTTCATGAATAAATAACAAACATGCTAAGCATTGTGTTAGCATGCGAAAGCCTCGGCATTAACAAAAGTTGGGACACTGTCTCCAAACTCTCGGGTACGTCCCAGGAAGAATTGCATATTATCTTTCGGTGTCTGCAGATAATCATCTGTTCCAAATAGGTACCAAACTGGAAAGCTCTGCAAGCCTTCCTTCCTATCTGTTAGACTTGTTTTCTGGTTGTTCCTTAGCTGAAATGCTGTTGGAAACTAAATACAGTAAATGTTCTGTTATTCAGCATTGTCCCCAGCCGGTTGACAATGTTTGAATTTAACAGCGTGCCAGATGAGCTGCCAGCCCTGCTCCTGGGAAGGAGGCTTCTTCCACTCCCGGAGTGGAGCTGGCCAGGGTTGCTTTGTTATTCATCATATTCAGTTAACTGCAAGGGCATCTAGTAACCTAGACAGGGGAAGGCTTTGCCTTCCCAAACCGCCTGGCATAGCCCCACCCATACTCCACCCCCAGCACCCGCTCTCCCTATGCTCTGGAGACAGGGAGGCTGGGGCCGTGCGGCCTCCTCCCTCCCTGGTGCTCCAGGGTTAAGGAGGCTGGAACATGAGCACTAGGCGCACTGCTCCTCCTTGTCCCATCACCATGGTGGGGGCAGGGCCTCATCAGAGGGGGTACAGTTGTAGGTGGGACTGGGGTCCTGCACCAACTGCCCATGGTTAACTGGGAACCGCCATTCTCCCTGAGTACCAGATAACAAGGCTTTAATTGTACATCCCAGCAAGCTTGGGCTTTCAAGTCTAGGGGAATGAATGAGTCTGAGAGACGAAGCTCCAGCCTGAGCTTGTTTTTAGCACATGTGCTAGAGCACATGTGTCCACCTGTAATTCCAGGGGAGGCTAAAGAAAAGGTTTGTGGGGAATCTTAACACAATGTAAAGAACTTAAAACAAAACACATAACAGAAAGATATTTCTGGGAAAAAAATTACAGTGTAAAGTGACTTGCAATTACACCTTTGAGTATTATTATGTATTTTAAAAGAAATTTTGCCTTTTTCTAAAACAACAGATAAAAACCAAGACAGTGGCCCAGTGTGTGGAGTTTTACTACACATACAAGAAACAAGTGAAAATTGGTCGGAATGGGACACTAATCTTTGGGGACATTGATGCCACTAATGAGAAGTCCCTGAAAGATGAAGCTGAAGTTGATATCAAGGTAACCACCCAAACCCCTTTCCTGCTTTTGACTTCAGTGCCAAACACAAACTTTGTGGCCTGAATCACAGTTCACTCTTTATAATTTTACTGATGCTGCTTATATACAAGAAATAGTAAATATGGTCCTGACTATGGCATAGATTCCTTAAGTAGTTGTCTGATTAGAGACTTGTGTTTCTGAGGACATATCTAAATTGCTACTTATGTCCACAAAACTTACATTGCTCAGAGGTGTGAAGAAATCACTCGCATAAATTTTGCCTGAATACATACTGGTGTGCAGAGCGCACTGTGTTGGCAGGAGATGCTCTCTTGCTCACATAGCTACTGCTGCTCATCGAACTTTTATTATTGTGTCCATGGGAGAGCTCTGTCTAGTTGGCATAATGCAGCTAAACGAGCACTCTTACAGCAGCACAGCTGTATCAGTACTTGTGTGCCATTGTAAGTGGAGACATGGTCTTAATTCTCTCTCACCTGCTGCCTTCACTAGCACAGACAAGGCAGGCTGAAGTTTACTATGTCCAGCTTCACAACCTCACATCCTTTTTTACATGGTTACCTTGACCTTCAATAGAGCTGAAGCTTCAAAGGAGAAAATACTAACTCTGTCCCTTTTACTGTCTCTTCTTGTGAAGAGTTCCCATAGGTTTGCACATATTCTTCCTCTCAGAAAGGAGAATTACAGTGAGGAACATACTCGTGTGGAGGAGGAGCCTGAGAAGGAGGAAGAGGTGGAGGACCAGAAGAGCACAGTATTTCCCAAAGCCGCACATACACTACAAACCAATGATGTGGTCAGTGTTGCACTGAGCTGCAAGTGTTCCTCTCCCCTCCCCCGCCCCAGTCCTTTCTATCCTCCCATTTAAGGGTTTGGAGAAGGGTAAATAAAAAGAACAGTTCAGCTTCAACTTTTCCTGGTAGAAGGAGGTGGAACTGGACTAACCCTGAGTATTACCAGCATCCAGATGTTGTTCGATATGACTCCATGGGCGGGGAAAGGTGGTAACTGGGAATGTGATAAAAACCTACACAATTCGCAGGGAGTGCTGCTCAGAGAGGACAAGTGGCCTTAGAAATGCCACAGATTTTCTCTTTAGGAATGGGTTGGACTAGAATACTGGTGGGGTGACAGTTCAGCCAGCAGCCGTTACCCCAGGGATGTTTCATTTTCCATTTGCTTTACCAACTCTCTGTTTGCCATGTAGGTCAATGAGGGCCTTATTTCAAGAAGCCAGGAGTCTAATGCCCCAGGAGAAGCCAGTAGTAGGACTGTAAGGAAGCCTAAGGAAGTAGCAGTGAAGTCTCAAAAGCCTCCTCCCTCAGTACAGAGGAGAAGACGGAAACCGAAACCTAAATTGGACACTGCCAATAAAGCTCAGAACCAGGAGAACACATTTCCATGTAAAAAATGTGGCAGGTAAGAGTCAATGAATTTACAGTGACGATTGCAGGAGTGTTGTATGAAATAAACATTTGCTTGAGGAGCAGCTTCTGTGGAGATATGGTACAATAAGATTTTTTGCAAATGGTGGTAATAATAAGAACAACTTTCCACCACTGGTGCTTTCAAATTAGATGTTAAAAACTGTCAGTTCTTCTCCTTAATGATATGAGGTTGTCAGGGGTCCCATGGGTAGTTTTCATAATGATCAGCATATTAACCCCATTACCCTGGATAAATGGGAGGATTACATTCTGCATTCTGAAATAGTATTGAGATGTCACACTGCTGTATTTCTAGCTTATTGCTGACAAGAAAGAAGCCAGGGGAGACTCTTAATGGCATTCAAGTCTATTGGCTAGCATTTGGTGCCAATAAAATTGAGACGCTACTGCTGAGAGGCAGAGGGGAGAGAGAGAATAGAAGCCATGGGCACTTGTCATTGTTTGCTTATTTATATTCCAGTAGTGCCTAAAAAATTAGGGCCCTTATGTGCTCAGCAATGTACAAATGCATAATGAGAGATGGAGCCTGCCTCCATCTAAATGACAGATAAGTGTGGGTGGGAAAATGGAGGCATGGAGGTAAAATGAATGGTCCAAGATCTCACAGAACACCATTTGCCAAGAACAAAACCTAAGTGCCCCATCGACTGCATCACCTTGCTGCATGAGGAATGGGAGTGAGAGCAGTGGTAGTTGCAGTAGTTCCATCATGGTGGTGATACAGGGCCCTTCTTTGTAGTCTGTTGATGTCAAACGAGAGATACAGCAGTGCAGGGAAGAAGAGGTACAGAGAGACTGAGCCAACAATTACATGTGTATGATCTCCCTCAGGGTCTTCTACAAGGTGAAGAGCCGGAGCGCTCACATGAAGAGCCATGCAGAACAGGAGAAGAAGGCAGCAGCATTGAAGCAACAAGAGAAAGAGGCGGCGGTGGCGGCAGCAGCAGCAGCGGCGGCAGCAGTGAAGCAAGAGGAGAGTAGTGACATGGGGAGCAGCAGCAGTGACAGCAGTGGCAGCTCGGATGAGGATGGGGAGATTTAACCATAGCCCAGGGAAAGTCGAGGGAGTAGCAAGGCTGGACCCCACCTCTCTCTCGGTGTGTTTGCCTCCTTTCCTGCACTTTCTTTAACTGGACTGAGTTATACTAGGCCACAGTTCCACTGCTGCCCTTTCTTCATCCCACATTCAGCACCTCGCCCTGCCTGTATAGACTGAGCCAAATCAGTGGATAAAGAGATTTGTGTGAACTTGGATATTCTTTTTTACAAATAAGATTTCTATTTTATTTATAAAGGCACCTGAGGTACATAACTGAACAAGGTCATCGGGGTGGAACTCAGTTCTCTTGCAGGTTAGTCAGGGCTTTCTCCTTGTGCTTGCCAAGAATCACAGTAACAAGACTCTTGAGTATAAAGGCTTCCAGGCCTGTGCAAGAAAAGATGCTCTGCCCTGAGACTATGTGCATCTAGTTACTGTGAAACCGGTGTTTTGTAACAATTGCCTTCCATAGCAAATTGTCTGTCACTGCCCTTCCTGCTTTCCTCTGGAGGGTTATCCAATAGATTCTGTGGAAATAGGAGATGTACCCTGGGTCATTGTATGACAGAAGTGAGGGTGTTTGTGTGTGAAGAACCACTCACCCCACCCCTTTCCTCTCAGAGGTGATGTCTCTTTCTGTAGCAAGGGGATGCCTGATCATTCCTGTGCCAGTAGGAGTTCAGTAGTGGACATACAGCATTCTGTGGGATAAGAGTAGCCACAAACCTTAAAGATCTGGCCACATCATGTACAGGAGGAAAAGTAGTTATTTGGGTCATTTTTAGAACTTGTCCCCTCACAAGTGCAATTTGAAAAATCTCTAATGATCATTTGTGTCTTGAACTCACTACAAAAGGGAGAAAAGTTCTTAATGAGACTTGAACCAAGACATCGTTTTTGCATTGAGCATGCCTCACAGTGGAGGGAAAGGTGGACATGGGTCTCTTCATCAGGCTTCTTTACTTCCTTCCCCAAAGAACCATTATGCAGTGGGAAACCCTTACCATCCCTTTAAATGATCTACAAAGAAATAGCTATCCACAAGTTAAGTACAAGAAGCTAAGTGTCCTTCCATCTATTCCTTTGCAAATGTGATTGGACAGCACTGAATGCTGGGCTATCCCATCAGGCCCCCTTTCAGTAAAATGTAGACTCTTCACACAGAGCTGGCATTGAAGTGGCCCCGTTAGCCAGAAGTCTAGACAGCTAGGCCTGATATTAAGACACAGTTCTAAGTCAAAAATAGATCAGCTGAATGCTAAAATTGCACATGGTCTGTCAGTACATATATACACAGTGTTCACGTACTTTTATTTCATAAAACTGTTAAGAATCCAGTGTAGTGGTTGTGTCAGTCTCAGGACGTTAGACACACAAGGTGAGTGAAGTTCTATCTTTTATTGGACCAACTTCATTTGGTGAAAGAGAGCAGCTTTCAAGCCACACAGCTCTTCTTGTGGAGAGCTCCGTTGGGTCAGAAGATTCATTCACCAACAGAAGCTGGTCCAATTAAAGGCAGCATCTCACCCATCTTGTCCCTGTAACAAATCCAGGGCTACGTCTACACTGGCATGATTTTCCGAAAATGCTTTTAACAGAAAAGTTTTCCATTAAAAGCATTTTCGGAAAAGCATGTCTAGATTGGCAGGATATTTTTCCACAAAAGCACTTTTTGCGTAAAAGCGTCCGTGGCCAATCTAGACGCGGTTTTCCGCAAAAAAGCCCCTATCGCCATTTTCGCAATCAGGGCTTTTTTGCAGAAAACAGCACTGTGCTGTTTACACTGGTCCTTTTGCCCAAATGGGAGCAGCATAGTATTTCCGGAAAAGCACTGACGATCTTACATGAGATCGTCAGTGCTTTTCCGGAAATTCAAGCGGCCAGTGTAGACAGCTGGCAAGTTTTTCTGCAAAAGCAGATGATTTTGCGGAAAAACTTGCCAGTCTAGACACAGCCCAGTTGTTTCCTTGTGCTGCATCCATTGCTGAAGAGAGTAATTGGCATTTTGGTAGAGTTCCTTTCATGGCCTCTGCCTTTCATTGTAAGTAGAGAGAGAAATAGGGAGATCAGCAGGACTCAGTCAGAATAACTGAAGAGGCAAATTAGATTTAGTTGCAACACCCCGCAATGAAGCATCCATAGTACTGTAATGCATTTGTACCGCTAGGCAGCCAGTTCTCACTCCCACCTCTGAAGGAACACGATACGGTATATTTGTGTGGCATGTAACTGCATGAGCAAAGAACAGTAGCTAGTAATAAAATGTTTCAACGTGGCAGTGATTTGCCAGATTTCTAGTGCCAGTGCAATGCACATCAGATCAATGTGCGCTTCAGTAGTGGCATCTAGTGGTTAGATAAGTCATTTGCCTGTGAATTCTTGAGCAGAGCTGCTTGGTTAGTTCCATTTGGTGACAGCAGGCTGTCCCTGATCTGGCTGACTTACAGGAGGCCTCTCCAAGCTGCTGGAGAAGTTTCAGGAAAGAATTCCTTTGTGCTTGTTCAACTATAATTTAATATAGGTCAAATTCCAACCTGTCACCTGCCTGGCCTGACTTTTTTGCCCCATGGCACCAGAGCCTCCTCAACGGGCTGAAACTTGGGACCAACTCCTTTTTTGGCAGCTACAATTGTTTCACTGCCTAATTAAGTCTTCATGCCATATATTTGATACCCTGCTCTTTAAGCTGTTTATCTTTGCACAGCTCCTTTTCCTTAGGCAAGATTCTTCCTTTATAATAAAAAATAAATAGTTAATTGGTTATTATTTTTTTAAATGTTAATCATTTGAACTGAAATGTCCCTCTCCTTTCACTCACGTACTTAGTTTCTGTAACAAGCCTGGGTTTATACCAGTTTGGGGATCAAAAATCCACCTTCCAGTCCAGAATCCAGCTCTCTTTGTACAGTATACAAAATGTGTCCATTTTGGTGGTGTTTGGCTGACACTTCCTTTGTCACTGTGAACTGGTCTTGACTGGAATGTGGAGGTGGATGGCTGTCACCTGCTATTAATTATTCATTACTAAACTGGAGAGAACCAAAAGCAAAGAACTTTCAGAAGAAAAGTTCAAGCAGCAAATCTTCTTAAGAATTGAAGTATTAATTAATAAAGAATGTTTTCATTTTAAAATTGCAGACACTCTGCATCCTCAGTCCTACTGCAGCAGCACTGCAAATAATTGAATATTTAGAGTGATGTGCAAAGGAGAACAAAAAGTGAAGTAGCCATGTATTGTGTTCTACTCTCAATAATGTTACTTCTCGGTTCTTCACATCTGTTAATAATCCATTTTCAGGGTTGCAGTAAATGCCAGTCAAAGGCTACAATGTAGTTAAGTCTTCAAATGGCAATTCTTTCCAGAAGATTAGAAAGTCACTTAGAAGTGCCAGATCCTGGGAATTATAGAGCAACACAGCAGTTTAGAAAGTAAATAGGTTGATTGGGTACATTTTAAAAGGGGATTGAAAATAATGCAGCACATATTACACCATCATATTGAACAGCTCTGTCTGGAGTACTCTGTCCTGTTACACAGTGGAGATTAAAAGGGCCAGAAATCAGCAACAAAGATTAAGATACAACTGGGACATGCGTGTGCTAGGAGAGAGACACCTAAGATTATTGAAAAGGAGCCTTGACTGAGGTATTGAAAATTATGGAAGTTATAAGGGGAAATTTCTCAGTCTCTCTCCTTTAGTCCTTAACTAGTGTTGCTAGTCCTTGAGGGGAATAAGGGTGGAGGTACAGGAGTCAGGATTAGGAGATTAGGAGGGGCTCTGGGCAGGGGACTGCATGTGTAAGGGCAAAATCCTCTCTCCCCACCCGGATTCATGCCAAGGCTACTTACTCTTCCCCTTCCTGTCCCTGTCAGGGAGCAAGAGCAAAGAGCACAGCTTGCCTGCCCTCTGTGATCCCCAGTCAAAGGGAGGAATGCAGCAAACTGTGCACTTTCCCCTTCCTCCCTGATGGAGAACAGCGATCAGTGTTCCTAAAGCTTTAGCTTAGGGGTGGGAGGCTCGAGGATGAGGCAGTCACAGATAGGGGGCAGCCATGTTAAATAAATCTGTTAGTCTATAAGGTGCTACAGGACTTCTTGTTGTTTATACAGATAGGGGGGATTGACCCCCCAGCAAGCCCCTTTCACCTACGTGGTGAATCTGTCTCTCTTCTGTATGATTTTATGACAAGCAATCCCATTCCGGGCAGATCCCATTTTCCTGGCACAACCAAACCCTTACCTACTTTCAGTTGTAAGAGAAAGCTATGTTCCAGATTTGGTGGTCCTAGCTCTTATCATTAGGAGTTCTTGAACAGACAGACAGACAGACAAACTCTCTCAAATATATAGTATGTAATGGAACAAAAGGGTCAGTCCCTTAAATCCAAGGGCAATATGTACAACAGATAGGGCATGTCTACACTAGGAAATTATTTTGAAATAACTAAATTTGAAATAAAAACTCCTGAAATAACAAAATTAAAAGTGTGTCTTCACTATGGGGGAACCTTAAAATTAGTCTGAGGCATGCTCTGTTACTGTGGACACGCTACCTTGACTTAGAGCCCCAGGAAGCACTGGGGAGTAATTACTTTGAATTACTCCTGAGAATTAGTTATTTCAAAAGCATCCACACTACCGCTATTTCAAAATAAGCAGCCTGTTGTTTGAAAATAAGTGCTTGGTAGTATGGATGCTCCGCTTATTATTTTGAAATAAGGGGGGTTATTTCATGTAGCTGCAGAGAGCATGAGTGTCAACTACCCTGGCAGGACTTCAGAAAGGGCTATGTAATATCACCACTCCTAAAATTTTTAGTTAGGAAAACTAAGAGCTAATTAAGTATGCTGCAGAGGATAAGAAAATTAAGTTTTTTACTTTCTTCGTGAGAACAATGCAGAGTTAGTCAGATGAGTGGTTCTCTACCTTTCATTGAAGCTAGATGAAGATGCCAAACTAGAACCATTAATCTGCTCTGGTGTGGAAAATCCCCAATATAGGATAGAGATTCCGGGACACACCATCTGATGTTCCCTGAAAACGTCTGTTCTGTTCTTTGCCTCTTATTTTCTTTCCCAAATTATTTTGTGTAAAATTATTTAGTATTTTAAAAATGCTCCCAAAGTGTGGTTGGTGCTTGAAAGAACAAATAAAATCCGATCACTGCCATGAGGAATTTACAGTCTAGCTGTAACTATGACATTGCAAGTGATGGCAGCAGTTAGTTCGGAACAGATGGGAAGAGGGAAACAAGATCATGCAATTGCACTATGCATTGACTTAATCTTCCTTATGGGATTAATAGCCAGTTCTTGCACTGATACTATCTACTTCTAGGAGCCAGCAGACTAGCTCCTCACTTAGATCTTCTTTATTTCTTTTATTCCAGGGGACATCCATCTACACACGGGCACTGATTGATTATGTTCTGTGGAAAGGGATTTTAATAATGTACAAAATTAGTGGATTTATTAGATATTAAAAAATCAAGCATTGGTTGTTTTTTTTCATCCTTGCAGCTTTCTTTCCTTCCATTTTTGTGCAGCCAGACAATATGTGCTAACTCTGCATGGGCATGTCTAGACTACATGGCTCCATCGACGGAGCCATGTAGATTTGTTTACTTGGCAAAGGGAAATGAAGCGGCGATTTAAATAATCGCCGCTTCATTTAAATTAAAATGGCTGCCGCACTGTGCCGATCAGCTGTTTGGCGGCACAGTGCTGTAGTCTGGATGCTCCACGGTCAACATCAAAGGCATTTGTCAACCGCCCCAGTAAACCTCATCCCACGAGGCATAATGGGGAGGTCAACAAATGCCTTTGATGTCGACTGCGGAGCGTCCAGACTACAGTACTGTGCCGACAAACAGCTGATCAGCACAGCGCAGCAGCCCTTTTAATTTAAATGAAGCTGCGATTATTTAAATTGCTGCTTCATTTCCCTTAGCCTACTACCCTAATCTCTGTCGACGGAGCCATGTAGTCTAGACGTGCCCTGAATGTGAAAGAGATAAGGAAAGAGCTAATGGGCTGCCACACATAGGAACCAATCCAGCACTCTCATAATGCAGAGGGGAACTTCAGAGCAGCACAGATTTTTCAATATGTCAGAATCGCCTCTGGGTTAGAAACAGAGTAGTCAGCTTTATGCCACCCGTGCCCAGCCCCATGGCCTTTTCCGAAAGATCCCTTATTCCTGATTTTAAGAGGAATAAGGGATCTTTCGGAAAAGGCTTTATTTTCCGAAAGATCCCGTCTAGACTAGTGCTTTTCTCCGGCAAAGCCCCGAGCTGTAAAAAAGCGGCAGCCATGTTTATACAAATGAAACGGGGGATATTTAAATCCCCCACTTCATTGCAATTCCGACTTGTCTCATCTGTATTCCTTTTCCGGAAAAGGGGGTGCAGTGTAGACACAGCCTATGCATGGAGATAGAATAGGCAGAGTAAGTACACTGGGAGGTGGCTTAACTGAAAGAGCCTTTTGTATGGGAACAAATGCAATGTTTAACCAAAATCCTCTTGTACATGTGTAAACATAGTGTAGCAGCCTTTTCAGTGTTGGAGGTTAAGCTACAAGTGAA